TTCACTATGGATAGGTCCCCGCACCCGGGTTTTGCGGGAGAAATTTTGTTTTGCTTTTTAGTTGCTTTACCGGGTATCCTCCTTTTGCCCCCCCCCCATAAAACCCCTTTTTACCCCCCCCCCCCCCCCCAAAAAAAAAAAAAAAAAAATTGGCATAACCTTCTTCATCTATTTCTCCTGGGTATTACAGTCATCCCAATAGAATTGAAGACAATGCTTAAGCAAAATGTTTAGGGGCAAACAAGGTGTATCTATCATCATGGGAGATGTGCAAACGGCGAAGTAGGAGGCAACAGAAATAATGATGATGACTTTTTTTACCAAAAATGCATTAATATTTATAAACATTATATCAGATATCAGATCGGTCCTGGTATCTCCATCGCTTGCGAAATTTCTTGCTGAGAAGGGTATTACGTTTACGATAATCAGAACTAAATTAAAGAAGGACAAAGGCATTTTCCGACATAATGTGCGAATTATCATCAAACCTATACATTGAGGTTTATCACTTTCTTTATAATCTCTTTGCGGCAAGTTCAGGTGTCATTCAAATATTCTAACTGTTTCCTTTTTTCTGTAACATATCTCAATAACTTAATAACTTAATAACTTCTGTATATCACTTAGTTTCCTTTGTAATATCTTTAGCTTTTAAATCAGCATTACGCCTGACAGTTAACAACTCTTACACAGAGCACCTGACATCTTGAAAACACCCGCGCCTTAGTAAAAATAGCTCTAAGTCTGCGAAAAAAAGGTCATTGATGACCGAGGTAACGCTCGGGGGAGGGAAGCTCGTCGTCTCACTTTGGAGTGTAAATTGCAGATTTTGGCCTCACTTAGAGTGTGTGGGATGGAAGGTCACTATATTTGCCCATTCTGGAATCGCCTAATACTGTGTACAAAACAATGAAAAAAAATGCCCTGGTACTGATCGCAAACAAATCTCCCTTAGGGGTCAGTTTAAGCTTGAGCCACACCTACATTAGTCTCCCTTAGGGGTTTAGTTTGAATTTTCTGACGCGCATCCCCGTCACTTTTATGTGGGAGTCCCCTCAAGGGTAACGAATAAAAATATTAATTTTGAACCTTCTCTCAGTATTTGCATCATGCAGTTATTTAAAGAAGAGTGACCCTACGGCAAAAAGTGGAGATTACATCACTGATCCAGATGGCAAGGGAGGTCAGGCAGCATTCTCAGTGTACTGTGACATGAGTGACAAGAATGGTGTTGGCGTGACTGTCATCAGTCACGATAGTGAGAGTAGAACACTTGTGAGAGGATATGACCCCTTGGGGAACTACTCACGTGACATTCATTACACAGGAGCGAGTCTGTCTCAGTTGGCCAGTCTTACAAGCGTCTCCTCACATTGTGAGCAGTTTATCAAGTATGAGTGTTATCATTCGATGATGTTCAGGTACGGCGGATTTGCTTGGTGGGTTTCACGAAATTATACTAAGATGACGTACTGGGGAGGAGCATTATCTGGCAGTGGTAAGTGCGCATGCGGGATGAACAACTCATGTGCAGACTCTAGGTTTGGCTGTAACTGTGATAAGAATGACCACGTATGGCGTGAAGACAGCGGTCTGCTCACTGAAAAGACAAAGCTTCCAGTAATACAGCTCAGGTTTGGTGATACTGGTGATACGAAACTTCGCGAGAAGGGTTACCACACTCTGGGGAAATTTAAGTGCTACGGCACAGTNTACGCCTGACAGTTAACAACTCTTACACAGAGCACCTGACATCTTGAAAACACCCGCGCCTTAGTAAAAATAGCTCTAAGTCTGCGAAAAAAAGGTCATTGATGACCGAGGTAACGCTCGGGGGAGGGAAGCTCGTCGTCTCACTTTGGAGTGTAAATTGCAGATTTTGGCCTCACTTAGAGTGTGTGGGATGGAAGGTCACTATATTTGCCCATTCTGGAATCGCCTAATACTGTGTACAAAACAATGAAAAAAAATGCCCTGGTACTGATCGCAAACAAATCTCCCTTAGGGGTCAGTTTAAGCTTGAGCCACACCTACATTAGTCTCCCTTAGGGGTTTAGTTTGAATTTTCTGACGCGCATCCCCGTCACTTTTATGTGGGAGTCCCCTCAAGGGTAACGAATAAAAATATTAATTTTGAACCTTCTCTCAGTATTTGCATCATGCAGTTATTTAAAGAAGAGTGACCCTACGGCAAAAAGTGGAGATTACATCACTGATCCAGATGGCAAGGGAGGTCAGGCAGCATTCTCAGTGTACTGTGACATGAGTGACAAGAATGGTGTTGGCGTGACTGTCATCAGTCACGATAGTGAGAGTAGAACACTTGTGAGAGGATATGACCCCTTGGGGAACTACTCACGTGACATTCATTACACAGGAGCGAGTCTGTCTCAGTTGGCCAGTCTTACAAGCGTCTCCTCACATTGTGAGCAGTTTATCAAGTATGAGTGTTATCATTCGATGATGTTCAGGTACGGCGGATTTGCTTGGTGGGTTTCACGAAATTATACTAAGATGACGTACTGGGGAGGAGCATTATCTGGCAGTGGTAAGTGCGCATGCGGGATGAACAACTCATGTGCAGACTCTAGGTTTGGCTGTAACTGTGATAAGAATGACCACGTATGGCGTGAAGACAGCGGTCTGCTCACTGAAAAGACAAAGCTTCCAGTAATACAGCTCAGGTTTGGTGATACTGGTGATACGAAACTTCGCGAGAAGGGTTACCACACTCTGGGGAAATTTAAGTGCTACGGCACAGTATAAGCATCTTGGTATCACACAGACAAGCTTATGGGTTAACTGCAGCTTACTTGAGCGTAATTAAGCAAAACATCGAGGATAATGTCCTCAACTAGTAAGATATCTGCATTATTAAGATTGTTGACTGTGGAGATGCACAGGAAGTCCTACCTCTCCGCTCACGCATATATTATCTTGTTTCGCGGATTGTATGAAGATGTAGTTAAGAACTTTGCATCTTTACTGCTGTAAATGCACTGTCTGTAATACATTAATAAAGCACAAAACCAAAACGTACTCTCAACTGTTTCACAGCCATAAAATGCGTCTGTTAGCCTTTTTGCGGCTTTTAGAGATTGATATGACAGACTTCCCTACCCTTTTGTATACTGTATTGTTATTATTTTTAAAACTAGTGAAATCTCTATCCTTTGTAGTCTGCTACACAGCCGTTTTTTGTGCGTCACGCAACGCTCCTTTTGTGGCAAGCGCAACCTCCTCTTATGAGCCATTATTTAGTACCCCCTCGGGAGTAAATTGACACCTTGCATGCAAATGTCTGGAAATGTTGCCAATCCAACGAACGATAATACTGACCGTGAATATCACAGAAAAAGACGTGAAATGATAGAGGGAAACTTAAAAACAACAGGTACAACAACTCTTTCGATTGTCGTCTTCACTGATGCAAAAATAAAGGAGCAAGATGAAAAACAAAAGGAAAAAATCTCGATGATTTTGAAAATGGTCACTCAAACTTCAGAATTTTCACACGAGAAATTACAAACTTGCGATGGCAAGATTCCCTTTATCTGATCGAGTGTCTGTGATGGCGTCCAGATTCAAAATGTTATGATTGAAGATTTCAGGGCATTAAAAGACGCTGTAGAAGACCTAAACAGATAGGAAAAAGCACAGTTTTAAAAGCGAATAGGAAACATGCTAACGAGCATTACGGTCAAAAGCAAATGCTAGAAAACTGTGAACTTTACATGTATGCTTCTCATTGGTGCCAACGTCTTTTTTATTTTAATATTTGCACGGAAGTTTCTCTGCTTGTCAACGTACTCCATACTCCGAGTGCTCCTACTGAAAAGCGAATTTAAAAACCTTTTTGTTTCACATGGCTTTGGGTATAGTCTCACATGAACCTCTCTTTACGATCTAATGATGCCATACCCAGTACATAGCAGCTCTGGTAAAACGCACATAGGCCTATGATGCTGCTAAGTTTTCAACAACCTTAAGAATTCTGTACTTTTTCTCTCTGCCGACATCGTGGGTTCAGCTGCTCTAGTAAAAACTCAGAAGAAATGACAATTCTTTACTTCGAATTTTGAAGACGTCAAATGAAAACTAGCAATTCAATCTTCTCCTCTAAATTATGTCATCTTTTTCTCTCACGTACTTCTATTCTCTACTGAACATTTGGAACTGATCTGTTCGAATCTATTGTGCTCAAAATCGATGGAATTGCTGCTGTTCTATTTATTGTTACTGTTTTTCGTATGCCAATCACTCCTCCATGAAGTTCTTTTGTGCATATTTCAGCTTTTTCCCATGTATGTATATATATATTTACGGTACGTGCTTTCGAATATCAGTATCCATTATACTTTATTTACTGTTTGTTATTGTTTTAAACGTGCATTACCAAAAACCCAAAGAAGCGTAACACGTTAACCACGATATTTTATGAAATAAGCACACTCTTAAAATTAAAGAAATAATTTCACTTGCGTTATAGACTGTTAGAATTTTGACAAATCGCGGATGGACATACTCCGTCATCACCCGAATACTCCCAATTATCTTAATACGTGCGAGAACATTTTATTATGTTTATGAATTGAATAGTTAAATATTAATACAGACGTCAATACCATATTTATCTTTTGCCTATACCGGACTATATTTTCCCTTATATAAATGACAGTAAACCAGTTCAATCAGAAGAAGTTCTTTCTACGGGGTCTTCAATATGACAGGCCGCTGTTTCTCCGTGTTAGGGCTCTTGTTGGTTTGTAATTTCTGGGGAGCTTGGTTGACGTACATTGCAACTGCACTTGAAAGTAAGAAATAATGTTACTTAAGTCATAAAAATGAAGTTTCCCTTTGCAGATAAATGGTTTCTGATAAAAATCTAGACCAGTAAGTTTAATCTGACTTGTAATGACTACTAAATTGGCATAACCTTCTTCATCTATTTTTCCTGGGTATTACAGTCATCCCAAGAGAATTGAAGACAATGCCTAGCAAAATGTTTAGGGGCAAACAAGGTGTATCTATCATCATGGGAGATGTGCAAACGGCGAAGTGGGAGGCAACAGAAATAATGATGATGACTTTTTTACCAAAAATGCATTAATATTTATAAACATTATATCAGATATCAGATCGGTCCTGGTATCTCCATCGCTTGTGAAATTTCTTGCTGAGAAGGGTATTACGTTTACGATAATCAGACTAAATTAAAGAAGGACAAAGGCATTTTCCGACATAATGTGCGAGTTATCATCAAACCTATACATTGAGGTTTATCACTTTCTTTATAATCTCTTTGCGGCAAGTTCAAGTCTTATTCAAATATTCTAACTGTTTCCTTTTTTCTGTAACATATCTTAATAACTTAATAACTTAATAACTTGTGTATATCACTCAGTTTCCTTTGTAATATCTTTAGCTTTTAAATCAGCATTACGCCTAACAGTTAACAACTCTTACACCAAGCACCTGGCATCTTGAAAACACCCGCGCCTTAGTAAAATAGCTCTAAGTCTGCGAAAAAAAGGTCATTGATGACCGAGATAACACTCGGAGGAGGGAAGCTCGTCGTCTCACTTTGGAGTGTAAATTGCAGATTTTGGCCTCACTTAGAGTGTGTGGGATGGAAGGTCACTGTATTTGCCCATTTTGGAATCGCCTAATACTGTGCACAAAGCAATTTAAAAAAAATGCCCTGGCACTGATCGCAAAGAAATCTCCCTTAGGGGTCAGTTTAAGCTTGAGCCACACCTAGATTAGTCTCTCTCTTTGAATTTGCTGACGCGCATCCCCGTCACTTTTATGTGGGAGTCCCCTCAAGGGTAACGAATAAAAATATTAATTTTGAACCTTCTCTCAGTAGTTGCATCATGCAGTTATTTAAAGAAGAGTGACCCTACGGCAAAAAGTGGATATTACATCATTGATCCAGATGGCAAGGGAGGTCAGGCAGCATTCTCAGTGTACTGTGACATGACTGACAAGAATGGTGTTGGCGTGACAGTCATCAGTCACGATAGTGAGAGTAGAACACTTGTGAGAGGATATGACCCCTTAGGGAACTACTCACGTGACATTCATTACACAGGAGCGAGTCTGTCTCAGTTGGCCAGTCTTACGAGCGTCTCCTCACACTGTGAGCAGTTTATCAAGTATGAGTGTTATCATTCGATGATGTTCAGGTACGGCGGATTTGCTTGGTGGGTTTCACGTAATTCTACTAAGATGACGTACTGGGGAGGAGCATTATCTGGCAGTGGTAAGTGCGCATGCGGGATGAAAAACTCATGTGCAGACTCTAGGTTTGGCTGTAACTGTGATAAGAATGACCACGTATGGCGTGAAGACAGCGGTCTGCTCACTGAAAAGACAAAGCTTCCAGTAATACAGCTCAGGTTTGGTGATACTGGTGATACGAAACTTCGCGAGAAGGGTTACCACACTCTGGGGAAATTTAAGTGCTACGGCACAGCATAAGCATCTTGGCATCACACAGACAAGCTTATGGGTTAACTGCAGCTTACTTGAGCGTAATTAAGGGAAACATCGAGGATAATGTCCTCAATTAGTAAGATATCTGCATTATGCAGATTCTTGACTGTGAGGATGCACAGGAAGTCCTACCTCTCCGTTCGCGCATATATTATCTTGTTTCGCGGATTGTATGAAGATGTAGTTAAGAATTTTGCATCCCTTTTAACTGCTGTAAATGCACTGTCTGTAATACATTAATAAACCACAAATTAAAACCAGAACGACTAAAATACATCTGTTAGCCTTCTTGACAGACTTCCCTACCCTTTTGTATACTGTATTGTTATTATTTTTAAAACTAGTGAAATCTCTATCCTTCTGCTGCACAGCCGTTTTTTTGTGCGTCACGCAACGCTCCTTTTGTGGCAAGCGGAACCTCCCCTTTTAGTACCCCCTCTGGAGTAGATTGAAACCTTGCATGCAAATGTCCGGAAATGTTGCCAATCAAACGAACGATAATACTGACCGTGAATATCACAGAAAAAGACGTGAAATGATAGAGGGAAACTTAAAAACAACAGGTACAACAACTCTTTCGATTGCCGTCTTCACTGACGCAAAAATAAAGGAGCAAGATGAAAACAAAAGGAAAAAATCTCGATGATTTTGAAAATGGTAACTCAAACTTCAGAGTTTTCACACGAGAAATTAGAAACTTAAGATGGCTCGATTCCCTATATCTGAGTGCCTGTGATGGCGTCCAGATTCAAAATGTTATGATTGAAGATTTCAGGGCATTAAAAGACGCTGTAGAAGACCTAAACAGATAGGAAAAAGCACAGTTTTAAAAGCGAGTAGCCTCATGATAACGAGCATTGCGGTCAAAAGCAAATGCTAGAAAACTGTGAACTTTACATGTATGCTTCTCATTGGTGCCAACGTCTTTTTTATTTTAATATTTGCACGGAAGTTTCTCTGCTTGTCAACGTACTCCATACTCCGAGTGTTGCTACTAAAAAGCATATTTAAAAACCTTTTTGTTTCACGTGGCTTTGGGTATAGTCTCGCATGAACCTCTCTTTACGATCTAATGATGCCATACGCAGTGCATAGCAGCTCTGGTAAAACGCACATAGGCCTATGATGCTGCTAAGTTTTCAACAACCTTAAGAATTCTTTACTTTTTCTTTCTGCCGACATCGAGGGTTCAGCTGCTCTAGCAAAAACTCAGAAGAAATGATAATTCTTTACTTCGAATTTTGAAGACGTCAAATGAAAACCAGCAATTCAATCTTCTCCTCTAAATTATGTCATCTTTTTCTCTAACGTACTTGTATTCTCTACTAAACATTTGGAAGATCTGTTCGAATCTATTGTGCTCGAAATCGATGGAATTGCTGCTGTTCTGTTGCTACTGCCAACCACTCCTCCATGAAGTTTTTCTGTGCATATTTCAGCTTTTTCCCATCTATGTATATATTTACGGTACGTGCTTTCGAATAACAGTATCCATTATACTTTGTTTACTGTTTGTTATTGTGTTAAACGTTCATTACCAAAAACCCAAAGAAGCGTAACACGTTAACCACGATATTTTATGAAATAAGCACACTCTTAACATTAAAGAAATAATTTCACTTGCGTTATAGACTGTTAGAATTTTGACAAATCGCGGGTGGACATACTTCGTCATCACCCGAATACCCCCAATTATCTTTGTACGTGCGAGAACATTTTATTATGTTTATGAATTGAATAGTTAAATATTAATAAAGACGTCAATACTATATTTATCTTTTGCCTATACCGGACTATATTTTCCCTTATATAAATGACAGTAAACCAGTTCAATCAAAAGAAGTTCTTTCTACGGGGTCTTCAATATGACAGGCCGCTGTTTCTCCGTGTTAGCGCTCTTGTTGGTTTGTAATGTTTGGGCAGCTTGGTTGAAGTACATTGCAACTGCACTTGAAAGTAAGAAATAATGTTACTTAAGTCATAAAAATGAAGTTTCCCTTTGCAGATAAATGGTTTCTGATAAAAATCTAGACCAGTAAGTTTAATCTGACTTGTAATGACTACCCATAAGGTACGGGTATATATCGTCCAAATCCGGGAGAGCGTCTATTCTGTATTCTATATACACCATACATGAGCCTTGAGTATTGAGGAGCGGCTTAACACCACCTTAGTTACCTTTTTAGTACCAAAAAAGAGAGCTCTCAGTTAATTAAAAGTCACGCTTTGAGGTGACCACTAAAAAAGCACAAGCGTGAAAACAGGCACACCCTCGCAAACATATCGTGCAACAATCTCAGTGTAGTTAACAGCCAAATCTTTCCTTTTATCTTCTAAGGTTGCTTTGATTTCAGACTGATACAGCCTACTTATTTGAAAGAAAATTTGTTGGGACTTTTGTCGATTCTTCTAGCAAAAGGGTTATAATGAGTCTGCGTTTGAAGATACACCCTCTAAAACCAGACAGCTTAAACGTGCGCTACACGCATACTTGGCCTAGTGGTTTCGGACTCAAAGCGATAAAGGATAGAAGAACTTATTGAAATTTTTTCATATTGAATGCGTAGTGCAAACAAGAACGTGCATGGAACATAATGGAATAAGAGGAAAAGAGGAGGGGGTGAAAGATGATCGCGTAAAAATGAAAAACTCGCTGGCAAGTTTGTGTTGCTCACCCTGTTAAATTCACTTTCCACTTTTCACTTTTCCCTTTTTTTCTTTCACTTTTTTTTCATTTTCATTCAGTTATAATAATTTGAATCATCCCCTTTAAAATTGATTCGACAGCCCGGTACAGTCTTTAACTTCCGGGTTAACGGCGGTAAATAACAAGCTTGACGTCTCTATTAAACCCCGATGCATTTCGGAACCGAGTGTTCTGTATTGAAATAGAGACACAAGTTTTCAAACAAAAAACAACAGTTATAGTAGGAAAGATTTAATGTATTCTTAAATGAATTTTCCAAAAAGCGACGAAAAATCTGTCGGTAACGAAGTTGTTCAGAGAAATATCGTGAAGATATATGTTATTATTTAGTTATACTACCGAGTAAAACTGACAAAAGTTTTTTTACTGAAAGAGAACACTTTAACGTTTAAATATCGTCAGTGTGATGGGCAATCGAGTTCGCCATAGCCAATGAAAGAGATCAGGGACTAATATTTGTCACCAATATAATTTCCAGCCTTATTTCAATCAAGTTTACAGAGCACCTTGCTTGCTACACTAATTATTAAAGACACAGCGACAAGATGGTATGGCAATATCATTTTCAGTTACTTAATAGTTCTTTTTAAGGCAAACAAGAAGAGAGTACATGTATAAAGGCCCTCATTAGACCGTTCTACAAACACTAATTTTAAAACAGCTGCAATAAAATGCCGTTCTTTACGTGGACCTTGTTTCAGAAAACGGTGATTCCATCTTCCTTATTAGTTTCACAACTAACAACATGTTCCCCAACTGAAAATAATTTAAATTCAACAGTTTAAACGAAGCATGAGAGGAATAGAGAAACAGAAAACCGTCTTAAAAACAGTCACGTACACATTTCAAAAGAGGGAATTTCGCAATAATTGACGAATGTGATATCCACTTTTAGTATGTATATACTATTTGTTAACCGCCCACAGCAGGTGGATGTTTGCTCACATTAGCCACGTTGCGGATGACAGTATACTTACGTTAGTCACGTTTCACTGCAAACGGCCGGCAAACGTCACATTTACGTTCTTAATTTCTGAAAATACTAAAATAAGTAGACAAAAACTGTATCAAACGATTCTTGTTGGTTAAAGGGGCGTTTGATTGCAAACATATGAGTAGAAGTAATGAACAATGTACGTCAAGTAAAGCGAAAGCTTTGTCACGTGATACAAACTTATTAACATTTGCCGTTTGGCGGAAACGCTTTCTCTATTGTGCCTCTTTGTCAGGCAACCACCCTTCTCAGGTTTAGTAATGTGCCTTGCAATTTACAATCCGGTTTTGAAGCCGGTCAGCTCTCGTCATCATTATCCAGTTTTTCAAACAGTAGTTAGCCTCAAACGGTAATTGAAAGAAAAAGAGGAAAATAACTGACTTGAGGACATTAAGTTGTCCTTTGATAAAATCAGATAGCAAATGCTTGAACAAAGGCAAGTGAGAGTGAACAGCATTATTTATGGCTCAGTCAATTCCAAGCGTGCCCATCCCCCCGGGGCTTTTTTTGGGCATTTGTCATCCTGTCGGTCCCGGCGATGGGGATTTGTCGCAGAATCTCTGGTTCCGGGTGGGGCATTACTTTTTTAGGTTGAACACAAGACTTCGATCGTTGCCCTGACAACGTGGATGATTAAAAAAAAAAAGCTATCATGAGAAAAACGATTGTGTCACAAAACTCCCGGCTTTTTTAACTTTCATTTTCACTAGTTCATTGACCAAGGTGCGATGCAAACATAATTTTGGTCAAATTTCTTTATATTTTAATGAGTAGATTTTAAAATATTTGTTGTTTGTTTAAATTGCCTATAAAACTCAACAAAACAAGCGCGAAGGACGCAAGCTCAACACTTGAGCGCACTTTGAAAACACATGATATGTAAAAGGCGACGAAAACTGACAAATTCCGGGCATTTTTTCTCGCTTTCCTTGCATCCCATCATGACGTAAGATGCTAATAGTAAAGAATAAGGTGTTTGTAGAGAAACTGTGTTCACCTTAATAAAAATCTCAAAAGAGCTCGCCTATACCAGTAAGGCAAGTGTATTTTTAGGGCAAACAACAATGACCTAATATGAAACAAAAGTTAGAGTTTCGAGGAAAATGAAATTCATTATCCTATTTTACTGAGAATTAATATGTGGCGCACAAATGTAGCGCTCCATTTAAAACTACAATTTCCCTCGCGTGGGCAAAGTCTTATTTTACCAAAGAATTATAATAATAAACTAAAATTAAAGTAAAAAATCGACAAGAAAAGGAAAAAAAACACTACAGTGACTTGTGGGGTAGGAAATTACAATAATAATATCATAGGTGACGAATTACTCCTTAATTTTGGCGCGAAATTTCAGCGATAATTTGTAATTTCACATGTGAAATTACAAAATTGCCATGGCAACCTACCGTACGTCTCAGTGTCAAGATGGCGACAAAGTTTTAAACTGCCGTGAATGAAGATGTCAGGGTACAAAATGACGCTTTAGAAAACCTGAACACACAAGATAACATCAAGAAGGACTCTAACAGGTATTTTGCCGAAAAAGTCTGAAAAATTCTGAACTTTACAAGCCAAATTTAAGGTCTAAACATTTGAAAGAGTGGAGTTCTTGATCGATATGATCCAGGATAAACATGTCAAAAATCCAAGATTGCTAACGTAATTCGTCACCCATGATATTAATAAGTAATCAAATGGTATACTCGTGAAATTAGGGAATAATTTCACTTGCGTTTTGTCCAATCCTAATAATTTCCCTCGCAATTATAAGGATGTGGACAAAACGCGCGTGAAATTATTCCCTAATTTCACTCGTCACCATTTGATTACACATACTAACAACTAGTTCAATGCTAAAAAAAAACTGGTTAGGCTGTCTACCTTTAGGCAGGATTAAAGTTAAGAACATTTTTTATTCACCTTAACTTCATCATATATGGCGATACTTAATACCTTTTATAGTAGAGAGGAGAGGTCGTTACGTCACGTTGCCATGGTAGCAAAATTTTTGGATGACAACAAACCAAAATGTCACTTAAAAAGTGGATTCGCACTGTTTCAAACGTCATCGATCTTATTTAATTTCATATGATTTGTCAAATGTGGGCGAAATGTTCTGGGTTAAATCCGAAAGGACCGTATGTAAGTTTAGAAAAGAAAAACAAAATTTTTGTGTTGTGCTCACCTACTCCATAAAGTGGGCGAGTGAAATTAGGAAGTTTCATGTCGCGGTCGTGCAACAACGGCTAAGAAACTACAAAAAAGCGTGATGCACGTGCAAAGATGTTTTTTGCCAATCTAAACTGATTGTTTTTTTGCTGTTGGCCGACGCGGTTGCAAAAACTCCCTATTGTTGTCATCTAGAAAATTTGATACCATGGTAACGTGACGTCACACTTCTCCTCTCTATAAAGTTCAGATATTAACGCTCACTCTGATTGGTTGAAAAAGCATGTTTGATAAGAGTATAAAACACAGGGACTAAAGCGGTCACGCCATCTGTGAATTACACCATGCGGAGGTTTTCAAGACCAAAGTTTCGCATTTCAGAGTGAAAAATACACTGTTAAAAGACACAAATTGAAAGGGAAAGTTCGATTGAATGCTCAGTTTCTTTCTGTGGACAAGGAAAGCTTTTGGTTTCGCATCGTCCTTCAAGCCTTCAACGATATTTTCTTCACGCCGGAGCGCAAAATGTTATCTGTTTTGAAATTAATCCAAGGCAGCGAAGTTTTTGAAGACTTTTCAGGTACATTTTTTACTCTTTATGGTCAAGAAAATTACATTTTTAAAAGGAGATTTATGTATGTATAGGTGTTTCAAAAACGTTGTTTAAATTTTGCCTTCGCCGTTAAAGAAAGATTACAAAATGCACCCCCAATTGAGGTGGATTTTGTGTTGAATTTTGCCATGTGTTTATACGATTTTCCATGCTTTTAGACCAACTTCTTACTTTTTGAATAAAAATTTTCAAGAAATAACGTTTCTGTCTTTTGTTTTGTTTCTGCCACCTGCAAAGACGTCGGCGAATTTGTAGAATTTTTACTTTCAAGTTCAGTTTTTGGGTACTTTAAGCAGTTTGTTTTCAAATTTACATGTTAATGACGTCCAGGTTTTCATGGGCAGCAATTCAGCCAGTTTTAAAAGCACTTTTTCCTTCTGCATTCAAATTCAAAGAACGTTTCGCTCGTTTCACTTTGAGATAACTTTGATGTTTTGACAGCTTTTGTCTTATTCAGCCAATCAAATCATTTGGCCCATTCTGGCCTATTCTAAAACGGATTATGATTGGCTAATTAAGCGTGGTTTATGGGAGTGTAGAACATGCTGAGGACAATCTGGTTCGTTTTGAAAATAAAGTTTGTTTTCAAAATTAGAAAGCAATGCGTTGGGAATTTAACAAATTCTTTTATCATAAAACAAATCAGAAAGAAGCCTTGACTTTGCTCTGTTCTTTTGTAAAGCACTTAGGAGGCGACTAGAGTAGAGCAAGAAAAAGTAGGGAGAAACACTCGACTACTACTGCGATCATGTTCAACCTTCTTACTTGTTACCTTCTTTTTATAGTCGTTCTGCAGAACAAAACTACTAACTACTTGTTATTTTGATACAAATCTCTATCTTAGGTGATTGCGGTCAATTCAACCGACGCATCACATTTCTGACACCAGCCAGAGGGTTTTACCTTAAAGGACACGTGTTATCAAATCATTCTGTGGAACTAAACCTAGACTGCCAAGACCAGTGCGCCCTTGCGAGGGAATGTGTCTCATATAATATTGGTCCAATGATAAACAACAAGATGACCTGTGAACTGAGTGACACAGATCACTTGCAACACCCAGAAGATCTCAAACCAAGAAAAGACTGGTTCTACAGAGGCACAAAGGTAACAACAGCATTCATAGTCACATGTCACGTGTTCATGTCTTATTAAATGTCCTAAATGGTTAAAATTGATGACTAGGACGAATGCGTCTTTTTAAAACTGTAAGCGTTTAACTGATTTATTTTGTTTGTTCTTCTTTTTTTTTTTTTCATGTATACTTGTTATAAAATGCACTGCTTAAAACACACTTGTAGTTAAAAGGAGGCTAACTCTCTAAATATTTATTAATTAGCTAGAATTTAAAAACGATGATGGAATGGATAATGATTACGCGATTGCGATGATGATGATAATTACTATGATCATGATGATCATTTTGATATCGCAATGAAACTGTAGCGATATTAGGGATTTGATTAACCAAGGGCGCAACTGCATTTTATCAAAAGAGGGGGGGGGGGGTTTGGGGGGCAAATCCACGGTGCTTACCAGATTGTCAGTCGACATCCATAGTAAGAGTGGCACTCATTTTTTCGCATGTGCAGTGTGTGAGGCGGGAGGGATATGCCCACACCCTATACTGCATTGACAAGTCAGGTGACAAGAAGGACCGAGTATACTACAAAATCTTGTCCCAAACTGTAATTGGCGACGAAAATACTTTGATAAGAAAGGAAGCTTTCAACGATGGTTTCTTCGAAAAAATTTCGACTGCCTACATATCTTCGTTCAAAAAGAGTGAATCTTTGAGATTAACCTGGGCTTCGGTTAATCAATATCCTAGCGTTTTGCGGTAAAAAGAAAGGGACGCATGTCACATATGATGGGGAAGGGCAATCTAACAACCCCCATCACCGTGAGATGTAAATCGTGATGACAGAGCAATTGTGGTATGATGATGAGATAATATTTACCAAGTAGGCCGACGCAGACCCATTAAACCTATTGAAGGTTTCATTGAATATATCGGAGACAAATTCTGAGAACATAACGCATTAGAATTTAATAAGAAAAAAAATGACTCTTTGTTTCAGAATCTTTGCGCCGCCAAGCCCTGCCTAAACAATGGGACCTGCTATATGGGATACACGGAGAAACAATTCGTTTGTTTTTGCCTAACTGGCTACAGCGGAGAAACATGCGAGAAAGGTAAACGTTTTGTTGATGNAATATATCGGAGACAAATTCTGAGAACATAACGCATTAGAATTTAATAAGAAAAAAAATGACTCTTTGTTTCAGAGTCTTTGCGCCGCCAAGCCCTGCCTAAACAATGGGACCTGCTATATGGGATACACGGAGAAACAATTCGTTTGTTTTTGCCTAACTGGCTACAGCGGAGAAACATGCGAGAAAGGTAAACGTTTTGTTGATGCCAAGTATGTGCACCGTACATTATGCACCAGGCGTACGAAGTTCATAAAATCGAGAAACCCTGCCACTGAGAAAAAAAAATCATGCGCTTATCTTATAATCATTCTCATATCATATACGCTCGATCGTCACCCTCATAGAGAAGAAGGACAGGGATACAAGATTGATATTAAAAAAAAACTGGAGACCGTCATCTCTCGTAAACGTAGCCGTTAAAAATTAACAGGCTCAAAAGCTATGGCAAAGAGATTAGAAAAGATCCTGCCATATGTAATCCATCATGACCAAAATGCATCCGTGAAAGACAGAACGATTTTTGATGCAGTTAGAATAATAAGCGACATCATGGATTATACGATGTAATTACGTGATCAATTAATGCAAAAGGCCTATAACATAACGGACCCTTTACAGCCTCGGGAGGTTTTGCAACAAAAGTATTTCTAATAATAGACCCGGTGGAAAAACGAATTATGGCAAACGACTGGGGAACTTAAGCACAGGCATTTTTGAGCGGGCACATCCACCGGAACTGAGGCTTTAATATGCCTCAGGCCCCAGTTGTTTAAAAGGTGGTAATGCTATCCACCAGATTAATCACTATTAACTGGATAACACAATTGGTTTCCCTAACTTTTATCCATCGGATGGTGATTTATCCGATGGATAGCGCTATCCAACTTTTGAACAACTGGGACCAGGACGCTACCAAATTTGTGTAGATACGATACGTACGAAGATTTGGGCACAAACTTTTGGGCAAAAACTCTGCCCAAGAATACAGAAATTCCACTTCAGTTTGAAGTGCGTCTATCAAAAACGTCTTTGCTTTAGCTCCTGTTGTGAATCTTCTCTCGGCAGTTGCGTCATGCAGCTATTTAAAACAGAGCGACCCTACAGCAGAAAGTGGAAATTACATCATTGATCCAGATGGCGAGGGAGCTTTGGCACCATTCTCAGTGTATTGTAACATGACAGACAAGAATGGTGTTGGCGTGACAGTCAACAGTCACGACAGTGAGAGTAGAACACTTGTGACAGGTTATGATTCCCCTGGGAGCTACTCACGTGACATTCACTACACTGGAGCGAGTCTGTCTCAGTTGGCGAGTCTCACCAGTGTCTCTTCACACTGTGAGCAGTTTATCAAGTATAAGTGTTATCATTCCGTGCTATTCAGGGACCGTGGACATGCTTGGTGGGTGTCACGTGATTCTGCTAAGATGACGTATTGGGGTGGAGCATCACCTGGCAGTGGTAAGTGCGCATGCGGGATGAACAACACGTGTGCAGACTCTAAACTTGCCTGTAACTGTGATAAGAACGACAAAAAATGGCGTGAAGACAGCGGTCTCTTGACTGACAAGACAAAGCTTCCGGTAATACAGCTTAGGTTTGGAGACACTGGTGACAAGGTGTATAACGAGCAGGGATACCACACTCTGGGGAAATTAAAGTGTTATGGTAGGGCATAATCGCTTGGGTATTACCGAAATCGCTAAGTTCAATAGACAGCTGTAACACATATAAGTCCAAGATTTATACATTCCTGCTTAAAGCAGACAAAAGTGACCATCAGTGTTCGGTGGAAAACTTAACTGGTTGACTTAACTGCTGATTCATTTTTTATATCATCATGTAAGTTTCACTGATCTTACGTTTTTATTCTAGATTGTTTTCTTTTTTCTTAACTTCAGATTTTATCATGATTTCTATATATATTTAGATGTAATAACATTAAGCTGCACATTATCATCGAATAAGGGTGATAAACCGTAGGCCCCGTCTCACAACCTCTGCGAATATAAATTCCGTGGGACGTTAAAAAACCCACACACTGCTCGTAAAGAGTAGGGGATGTAGTCCCTGGTGTGGTGGAGGGACTACTCAAGGGGGGAGGGACTGTTACGGGCCTGCGTAGTGGCGCCAGATGCTGTTGCCGCGACCCTGCCAAGAATCTGGCGAAACTAAGTAAGGCCAGGTTGAGACGCCGAACTTTTCATCAGCCGAACCTAATACATTGAATTAAATGCATGAAAAAGTACATGGAACGGCGCAGCCCATTACGTCCGGGAATTTCAGCTTTGGGTTGACTTTGGAACGGCTTTGATTTAGACGCCGAACGTTTTATGTCCCGAACCTAATGCATAAAGTATTTGGAAGCAGTATTGCTGAAAAGAGCATTTTTTTGTCCTTTTGAATTTTGTTCGGCTGGAATTAAGATTGGCGTCTGAATCAATTCAGCCGTTCTAAGTTATCTGGGTCGGCCTTAATTCGAATCAGGCTCGGCTCATGAAAAGGTCGGCGTCTGAACCGGGCCTGAGTATAAATGACAAAAACAACAACAAATTTATTCATTGTACCCAAAGCAGAATATTATAGTTATTTTACAAGTTGTTAAAATAATCAATTAACTAAAAGGGGTACTGACTTCCTGAAACAACTAATAAGTTAAAAATGCCAAGAGGCCACATTCAGTAAAATAATTTAAATAAGTTTATTGTGCGGGGTCAGAAACTCATAAGGGGTTGAAACGTGTAACTCGCGTTCAATGCTCGTGAATATTCACTTTTACCATATTTGGAAACCTTAGTGACAGATATCCATTTTCAACAAAAAAAATGGCTGCCACGCGATCACCATGCAGATGTTTTAAGACAAGAGTTCTGCATTTCAAGGTTTAAAATACATCGTTAAAAGACAAAAAATGGAAAGAGAAAGATCAAAAGAATGCTCAGCTTTCTTTTTGTGGAGGAAGGGAANCTTTTCATCAGCCGAACCTAATACATTGAATTAAATGCATGAAAAAGTACATGGAACGGCGCAGCCCATTACGTCCGGGAATTTCAGCTTTGGGTTGACTTTGGAACGGCTTTGATTTAGACGCCGAACGTTTTATGTCCCGAACCTAATGCATAAAGTATTTGGAAGCAGTATTGCTGAAAAGAGCATTTTTTTGTCCTTTTGAATTTTGTTCGGCTGGAATTAAGATTGGCGTCTGAATCAATTCAGCCGTTCTAAGTTATCTGGGTCGGCCTTAATTCGAATCAGGCTCGGCTCATGAAAAGGTCGGCGTCTGAACCGGACCTGAGTGTAAATGACAAAAACAACAACAAATTTATTCATTGTACCCAAAGCAGAATATTATAGTTATTTTACAAGTTGTTAAAATAATCAATTAACTAAAAGGGGTACTGACTTCCTGAAACAGCTAATAAGTTAAAAATGCCAAGAGGCCACATTCAGTAAAATAATTTAAATAAGTTTATTGTGCGGGGTCAGAAACTCATAAGGGGTTGAAACGTGTAACTCGCGTTCAATGCTCGTGAATATTCACTTTTACCATATTTGGAAACCTTAGTGACAGATATCCATTTTCAACAAAAAAAATGGCTGCCACGCGATCACCATGCAGATGTTTTAAGACAAGAGTTCTGCATTTCAAGGTTTAAAATACATCGTTAAAAGACAAAAAATGGAAAGAGAAAGATCAAAAGAATGCTCAGCTTTCTTTTTGTGGAGGAAGGGAAGCTTTTCATCTAGAAATCGTCCTTCGAGGAATTCAACCTTGTTTTCTTCACGACGGAGCGCATGGTCTGTTTTGAAATGCAACCAAGGCAGTGAAGTTTTGCAGGTACATTTTGGACTCTATGGCCAAGACAATCACGTTTTTGAAAGGGAATTTATGTATTTTTAAATGTTTCATAGACGTTTTATAAATTTTTCTCTTTGGCGCTAAAGAAAAATTACAAAATGTGCCCCAGTTTGAGATGGATTTTGTGTTTAATTTTGCCATGTGCTCAGCCGATTTCACTCGCGTGAACGGATCCACGATTCAGATAGTGTTTTCCGAATTACTTTAAAGGATTAACTTGTTGGATTTTGACTAAAAATTTTTAAGAAACGGCTTCTCTGTCTATTGTTTTGAGTTTGTTCATTCATAAAATTACCTCAAAACACGATCGTGACTACAACATCCAAGCTGAATTTAAGCTTTTAAAAATGCTTCTCAAATTCATTACACGCATCACTTTTTGCGAAGATGTCAGGTTCAGGTTTTGGGCACTTTTCAATACGCAACTAATGAATTTTATTCGAAAATATTTTTCATTGTTTATTCTAGACTTTTAATATAAGGATTTTAAAAACCTATTTTCAGTATAAGTTTACTGTGCAGAGGGTCAACAAGGCATCGTTTTTTGAAGTGACAACTTCAAGAAGTTGCGAGGACGTCAACGGGTTTCATAATGTTATGTTTGGCGCGGGTGGTAAGGCAATAATATCCTGCTCAGTGTTTCGGTAAGATTCCTGGTTTCAACCTTTGAAAGCTTTCTCGGCTTTCGGGAGTTTTTCCCCCGTTTGTCGGCCATTTTTTTAAGCGGGCGCGGGAACCTGAAGTAAAATTACATCACGTTGTTTACGAAGTTTGATTGGTCAGCTACCTCTTCTTCTCGTTCCAAATATGGTACTTTCGAAAATGAATAATCACGAGCATCGGACAAAGCAAACATATGAGAGTTACACGTTTCAACCCCTTATGGGTTTCTGGCGGGTTACAATGTGGCAGCATATCAGACAAGAGGTAATAATAATAATAATAATAATAATAATAATAATAATAATAATAATAATACACTTTAGTATATACTAAAACAGTGGATAGTGTTTTTCGGGCGCACTGATTGGCTACTCAATCAGTGAATATCCTGCACTATTCACTGATTCACCTCCAGTTCCTCGGAGCGAGCGACGCCAAACTCGTGTAAGTTGCAAGCAAAATGCCTTCCCGGTTTGCTGCCGTAAACAAACAAAGAAATTTCACAACTGATAAAGCAAGCTGTTTCCGAAATACACGAAGAAGGTGACTAAGTTCGGATTGGAAGTTTTAACAGGTAAAGCTTTGTCTTTTTGACACGAATTTATCGATAAAACCGGTGAAAAAGTTTTTTGTTTACAAATGCAAATGAAGCTTAAGTCTTGCTTACTTTATTTAGTTGAGTTGTTCATAAATAAGCTTAAAACTAAACTTAATAATCTTTTTTTATAGAATGATTTTAAATACAAAAAGAATTCACAACTCCTTTTGAAGAAATTTCCCCGCAAGAGCTAAACAAATGCCTTCAAAAGTTTTAGTTGCCGGCAAGAAAAAGCGACGGCCGCGGCCGCCCGGTCATTACGCGCCAAAATTGTAATCGTTGGCAACAGTATTTGAGTTAAAAATCGTCGTTTTTGTGCTCAATTATCTCACTGTTTTAGTATATACTAAAACAATTATTCACCTCAGTGTCGGTGGCTAGTCGTGGATATTTACCTCACTGCTTCGCAGTTCGGTAAATATCAGGACTAGCCACCTCCACTTCGGTGAATAATTGTTATTTATTTAAAGAGGGTAGCACGGAATAGTTACAGAAACTAGTAAACTTGTGGCCCTCTATTGAGAAAGAGAAACAGCTTTAATCTTATCATCAATTGAGTTCCAGATCTTTGGTCCTTGAAATCTAATATTAAATTTTCCATAATTAGTTCTAGCTTTGAAAAGGTAATAGGGAACTTGAGAACCACGACGAAGTTCACGACCACGACGTCTGTTGACCAGGAAAGGACTGGAACGAGAACGTCAGTTTCGGCGGGAAAAAGGAAGCTTAAGATGCAGTCGATCGGTAGGTCGACGACGACGACACTGAATGTAAACAAACAAGTAGAAGTAGTAGAACTGTGATGTTCGTTCGCAACAAAGTTTTTTCGCAGAGGCGTCTTTTAAAACGATGCAGGATCTTATTTTATAAGCCGTACGTCTACTTTCATTGACGATGAAGAATTTTTAATAATGTCTGACCTTTTCGAATGGAAAAATCTCTGCTTTCCGTACGAAGATTATTCAACTTTCAACCTGAATGAGATGACCGAGTCCGAGTGTCTGTCAGAGGTTAGTTTTGGAAGAAGAGACATTCCGATGCGATAGCTGTTTTCCATATAAAGTTCATTTCCTCTATATTAAAGATATATGATTTGCCGTTCCTAAATACGTACAACTAAATTTATCACTTACAAGTTCGCTCGCTTGGCCTCCACAGCTCAGTGTTGTCTTCGAAGTAAACACAATTCATCAGTCGAATTTTCAATCAACATCCCTTGTTAGGAGAAAAAAGAAAGGATACCTGGATTTACGAGGATAAAAAAATACAAAGCCCTTGAAAAATCGCTTAAAAACAAGGAGTTATACCTGTCAAAGATTGTGGATTGCAGGACGACGTGATTCTACTGTGTTTGGCGTCGTCGACACTACGACGACGAAATTTGCTAATCGCGCTTGCGCAGTGAACGGTATCTCACTTCCGGTTGCGTCGACAAAGTCGTCGTCGTGGTTCTTAAGTTCCCTAATATGACTGTTTAGCTGCAGATCGTGTATTGTAATAATGGATCTCACTTACTTTAGAGAAAAATGCTTCAAAAGCAGAAGGTAATAAGGAATTGTTGAATCTATACATAAAAACTGCAATATGATATGACAACAAATCATTCAGCTTGATTATGTTCAATTTTCTAAATATAGGACTCGAGTGTTCATGAAAACTTGCAAATGTCATTAGGCGAATAGCTCTTTTCTGTAAAATAAAGAGAGGTTGGAGAGTTGTTGAATAAGTGTTGCCCCACGCAATTATTCCATAAATCAAAAAAGGCTAAATTAAAGCATAGTAGAGGTTAGACAGTACATTAATACCGCTATAGTAGCGAATCTTGGATAATATTCCAACACCTCTCTTAATTTTGGTTAAAATATATTGAATCTGAGATTTCCATGACAAACTTGAGTCAATGAAGACACCAAGATATTTTATTCACTTTTCCTGATTTAAGCACTTGTTTTCTAAGATTAACTGGAAATCACTGGAAATCTTTTTTGTGGAGGATGGAAGACAACAAAACTTGATTTTTGTATATTTAGTGAAAGCTTGTTAGAACGAAGCCACATACTAACATTGTTTAGTTCAGTATTTATATTTTGTTGTAGAATATTTATGTCTTTATGTCTACAAAAGAGATTAGCATCATCAGCTAAAAGGTGGAAGTCAAAAAGTGTTGAACCAAAGATGAAAGTCATTAATATATATTAAAAGAAAAAGAACTGGGCCGAGGACAGATCCCTGAGGTATACCACAGGATATACTAGTAAGGTCAGACTCTATGCCAGTATTAGTAACAAATTGTTAGCGATTAGTAAGGTATGAAGTAAACCAGTCCTTAGCAATACCCCTTATGCCATAGAAGTCAAGTTTTTCAATAAGAATAGCATGATTTACAGTGCCAAATGCCTTACTAAGGTCTAGAAAAATACCACATGATAGATCACCTTCATCAATTGCCTGTTGAACTTTGTCAATAATACTAAGAATGGCAAAGTCAGTTGAATGTTTACAACGGAAGCCAAACTGACCTTGAAAAAGCATCTTTTCCTTTTCTAGAAATTTTAAAAGTCTGCCAGTTAAAAGTTTCATAACAAAATCTTACGGGGCATAAATAAAGGATGAAGAGAGAATGGTCAAGAATAATAAAACATAATACTAAAAAGTATAACCCGAGGGAGACAATCAAGTAGAATTTATGCATTGACACAGAAAGAAAAAGCTTTACATTATCGTTTGCATTTACTTAAGCTCGTTGGTATAGTCCATAGTCATCGTTTTGGATTTTGAATTATGTGTGATTCAAATAAATTTCACATAAAAGCACCAAACGTTTGATTACTGTAATAGCCCTAATTGTATTTTTTTTTTTTTTGCCAGCTTTTACCTCGATTGTCGTCAACAACCCTCGGCCTTTATGATAAGAGCCTTTATTCTGGATAGGGAATACTGCCATATACATTTTAAACTATAAGGGAGTGGGGACATGATGAAGGGTAGGGTTTCTAAGCCGTTTCGTGTGGGATAGAGTCTAGAATTCAAAGGTTTCTGGTCTACGAAGAGGGCATCAAATACTCGGTTGTATGAAGAATTGGAGATTCTCTTTAATAGTTAGTCTGGGATATGGTGGGGGTTTTGATTTCTAGTCTCGCGGAATAGGGTGGCAAAATTACAGCTGAAAATGGGTCTGTAATAGGCTAAGGTTTCCAGGGTCCCAGCCACACATAAACACCCAAACATTCATTGAGTGACCCCCCGGCTTATCACGTACCAGTCAATGGGAGCCACAGGCACCACAAAGTGGGAACGGAAGGAACAGAGGGACTTGCCTCAGGCTTGTTCGCAAACCGCAGGATACTATAACATTCCGGAAGAGAAGAAACATTGTATGCCGGCGAGGGACAAGAGATTTAAAAAAGTGCCGCGCATAAGGGGAAATGACGGGGAGTTCAGGGATCAATTAAGGTTTCTGGGAAACTGCCCTCCTACCCCTCCCCTAAGCCATCATTTTGCCCTCAGCGCGAAGTAAGTGTTAATGTTAGCTTAGGGGAGGGGTAGGTGGGCAGTTTCCCAGAAACCTATAAAATTGATCCGAGTTCAGTAGGGAGCCAGTAGACAGCTTACCAAAACAATGATATCAAATTGACAACATACATCAAGAACCACGCATAAGCTGAGAGAGCAATCAAACATCACCAGACGTAGTTAATCGATAAACCGATAATCGATATCAATCGATACTAATCGATTAATATCGATTTCCAATATTACTCGATCGAAATCGATAAAGAAAAAGTTGTGACTTCGCTTAGTATCGATGATTTTCCGATAGAAATCGATAATGGTTTTTTATCGATTATTATAGATTCCAATCCATTGTTATCGATTTTGTTAATCGATAATAATCGATAAATTATTCTTTCCATGACTTCGATTTCTATTGTTTTCCGATATGAATCGATTTAATCGGTGGATTAAATCGATTAGTATCGAATCAATGATATCCACTGATTTCCGATATCGATTTTTATCGATTAACTACGTCTGGAACATCAGCACGGCAGAATCTACTTTAGGAAGAGTGTCGACTGTAAATGTATAGAGGAAGAAAAAGCTCTCCCTCCACACACATTATCCTGTTTCCGTATATTGATGTTGACAAGAAATTTTGTATGGCAATCAATAATGTTTAGCTGAGGTACGAAGTTCTTTTGCCGCAGCAGGGTGATGACGGGCTTTTCTTAGAAAACAGTGCCCTTTTGCGCAATGACTTATTACTGTAAGAAACGGCATACAGAACCAAACAAGTATCTAATTTCCCCTCAATACAGGGAATAAACATTAAAAAAAGTAAAATAAATATTGTAAATGATCATCTTTATTCTTCGCAGAGTTTACAGTCAGTTCTCACAATAACCGTTTTCGAAAATCTTACACGGAACTAACATAAGTTCCCTTCTGTTTCTTTAAGTGGAATGCCACTTAAGCCAGACCTTAGAATGGATTCATTTGCAACACACGCGTAAAGCCGTTACATTTTAGCGAAAATTGCTGGTTGAAATTTTTTATTGAAAATTTCCAAAGGGCGAATGTATGCGTATTTTGTGAATATCAAGTCTGAAATAACAAAGTAATTCAAAGTCTACGGAAAGCTTAGAGGAATTTGTCTTAGTCAGGAGCGCACAGTACTTCCTCATAGTATTCAGCAAATTTACCAGGTATCAGTTCAAAGTCTTCGCCATAAAATGACCGCGAGTCATCTTTTCGCCACGTTCTTGCCCAAAATTTTCTCTCCATAGTTAAATCTATACAATAAAAAAGACGGCTGGACTTAGGCAAAGAAAAACCCCGCTTGTTTTTAAATAATAGCGCACGTAGCGGTACTATTAGGGAATGCCATCATAACGGTACAAACTGGATTGTTTTTTGGCCCCGGTGGACAAGGTTCCCATTTTAAATGAAAACAGATATACTCTATAACTTTGTTCCCCTGTTTCCGGCGAAAATGGTCACCGAAAACGCATTTTTCCAAAAAAAAAACCTCAGATTGGGGCTATTTGCAGACTGAGTTGATTCTATATCCAAAAACGGAGATTTTGAAAAACGATGAGTTATTGGTAAACGCAAATGCTTTATCAATGATGATTTCCTGATTTCCTACGTACACGTTTTCATGTGGCGGACTTGCCACTCCCCCCACCCCACAAAATATACTTCATCTTGTTAAGAAGATCAAAGGCTTTCCACTAAAGGTAAAATCGGTTCAAAATACTGCAACATGTCAAAAACTCAGGGGAGAGGTTCCATCCAACATGTAACTTTATTCTGAATTTTGACTTTTGGCGCTTCTCTGTATATCTCTGAAACGGCTCGACAGAATTGTTTTTAAACCTCATCAAACGATCTTCATGATGTATATAATAATGTCTGAAACTTTCATTAAGATTGATTCACTGTAACGCCCTGAGATTAAGACGAATCTAGCCTACGAACCGACCAAAAATCCACGTCACAACGTTCACTGTTTCGACGTTATGCTCATTTTTCCAAATTTAGTTAAACAATTTATCACGGCTATTGAAAATATAAGGTTTGAAATATATTTACATTTTATTTGAATTCAAACATACAGAATTTTTCACTTTTTAGGCCCTGCAGTCAAGACCACGACCCTTTATGCTTAATTAAGCAATGATATTATAACGCGAAATTAGATGAAGCCTTTAGTTAAGGAAAAATACACTTCTATACCCACTGTACCCTAAACTCAACGCTTACCTTCTGCATGTGGCCAGAAATCCTGTAAGACAACGACTGTTTCAATTTCCCTGTGATGACGCCTTAACATCTCTCCCTAAGCCGTCAAAAAAACCAAAATGAATGGCCGTGCAAGTCAAAGAAAACAACATGCACACATCACCACTTTATCTGGCTATTCAAGTCGAAGTTCGACTTGATTGTTTGAAGGTTTGATTACTTAACTGTCGCGTGATTATTACACGCGTAAATTAAATAGAGGCCATGTGTGTAAACGTAAAAGTTGAACCGCCCTCAACTTTTACATTTCCTCGCACCTTTCATATATTGCCTTTATTTTATGAACGCGCGTAAATTTTATGTGCGCTCGCACATAATACTAGACAAGAGACTTTATGATCCGACGACGCGACGGCAAAGAGAACGTCAAAAATAACAATAGGTTTAGAAGACAAAACAACAGCTTTACACAAGCATCTCACTTTTTGGGACATTTCTTTGCCGTTTTTGCACGACTACGACGTGAAATTGCCTGATTTTACTTTTTAGGAAGGACGTAAACGAGCGACGACGAAATTTTATTCTCTCTCTAAACTTGAATATGGTTCTTAGAAATTCAACTCCAGGAGGGTTCGCCTACATTTGACCACGTAAGTGAGTTGGAATAATTGCGATGAAGACCGAAAGAACGCAAGTTCAATTTTGAAGCGACGTTATCGCTGCCGTCGCGTCGTCTGGTCGTAAAGTCCATAATTATGCGACAGTGGAGGTCCACCTTAAGGGTCATCCAATCCTTAAGGCCATACGCCGTCAAAGTCATGAGCATGACAAAGAGAACTCCTTTTAAATTAGTACAGTTACGGTATTATAAAAAGCAAGTTTTGAAGAAAAACAGGGCCATATGTTACTAGGTCAAAGATTCAAAATAGCGATGAAAAGGTTCAACGAAGAAAAAAATCACCGCTTATTAATACAGGATGCTTAAGATTATGAACTGCCTTCCCCTATCATCGAACGCATTATTAGGGTAAGAAAACTTAGCTCACCATGCGACAGACAAAAGTAAACAATATTATATACCTTAAGCGTCTTGAATTTGCTCAGGATCTTGTCCACTTCCGCTTTAATTGACGCAGGTTCTTCCTCTTGTACCCTAGCTTTCTGAAAAGTAAGGCAAGGACATATAAACCACTCAACCCATTAATCCCTAAGAGTGATCAGCATCAAATTTGTCCTTGTAATATCAATACTTTCTTTCTGCCATGAGGATTACGGACATGATCACACAAGATGAATTTGCTTGATATTTTATCATTTCCCTCTGCTAATTAATTATGTAGAAAATGAATAGGAGCAACAGATGAGAATTTAAAATTTGATCTTAGGGTTTAAAGGGTTGAAAAATGGTATATGCTGTCTACAAAGGAAGTGCCCTTACTACAAGTAGGTAGCTGCTCACGATAGTTTTAACAGAGTTCGTACAGATTTTTGAATCCAAAATCAAGGCCTTTTTATTTTTTCAAACAAATATTTCTTTTCCAGACACAAGTTTATCAAAAAAGGTGATCAACAGAGATCTTGAAAAACGCTCGAACTGTGCTTTTTTTATGATGCACTGCAAACGTGCAACAACCACACTGCACGAAGACTAAATAAGGTTTGACTAAGGGTGAAAAAAACTTCATTTACTAACCAAAAAATCCAGCCTTTATACCATTTTTCAAGAATTTTTCTCTATTTCCCAGCCTGTCTCCAGATCTGGAAAATTGCTTTGCAAATTTCAAGAGTTTTCAAGAATTCAAGACCCTGTACGAACCAAGTTAAATATGATTTCAAACATTTAACAAATAAAACAAATATAACGAACCTTTACTCCATTCAACCCCATCTGCGAAGTCAACACTGTGCATGCGCCGTATGGTACAGCGTATCCAGCTTTCTTTCGAGTGAAGTTCCCAAACAAACGAACAAGCTCCTGTTCTAGGGTCATGCGCAGTTTAACCTGAGGAACAAGCGATGCCAAAAATGGATTGTTTAACTTGCGTGCTGACGTATAAAAAATATGGGGCGCGGGATAAACGATGCACGCGATACAGAAAGGACGATTTCAGCAAGTTTTAGCTCTGTTACCGAACAACGGCAGAACTAAAACTCGCTTGAATCGCCCGGGAAAATGCTAAGAAAACATCATAACTTTAGACTAGGGAAGGAATTCTGATGTACTTCTATAACTAATTTTGACCCCTAACGATCGCTGAATCTCCATACAAACCCTCATAACATTTCTTGGTTATGCAACAACGATTCTCACCCGTGAGCTTAGGGTACCTGTTTTATACCATGCAAGGTTATGGTTGTAGGAAATATGAGCGCGCCTTATTTCTACTACATAGTACATTGTACGTGCTGCTAACGTATAAAACAGCCAAATATTTTCTAGCCTGTTCCAGGCTCCGAGATAGCTAGCCTGCGAACAGCAGACGTCCGAAAATACGTCTGCTCTCCGCAGGCTCCGAGATAGTCGGGTCCGCTGAATAAAGCGCGAACAAGAACCTGGAACAGGCTGAGGTATTTTTACGCATCGTCCTTTTCACGATTCATCAATAATTTCACCTTTTCCGTGTCGTGCTGCGAGACAAGCTGGTCCAGCTGTCTTTCTTTTGGCGTTTTTTCGTTGAGCTGAAAAAAAAATCATCATCGTTTTTCAGTGTAGTATTTACATTGCGCATTCTTTCAAAAGGCACCATAAATCCTCTATTAAGCCCCCCGGGGGCCTTTTATTTTTCAAGCAGTTTTTTTTTTGGGGGGGGGGGGGCGCTTATTTAATTTAGCGAAACGCATCACCGGTAGCAAAAATACCGTAGTAAGAGACAGGGTAGACTTACGTGTTCTATAAGTCACTGGTAACAGTATTTAATTCACTTGTGGGAGCCTACACAGAGAACTAGAGCGTAAAGTTGAAAAAGTTAAGCACATGAAGTTGGAGGTCACGCGGCTGAAGACCAAAAACAATATGAACTTCCAGCCTGAATAAACCATAATTGATCAGTCCACGTTAAATGTTTGTGAAGAATAAGGATGGAGGAGAGGGGAAGGGAACTTAATAGAGACGGTGGCTTATTAACTTTCCTCCTGTGGAAAGGGGGAGTGCTTATTAGAGAGGGGGGGGGGCTTAATAGTGTCAATTACGCATACAAGATACTAAAGCCCCTTTTATATGGAGAAAAGCTGTCCTGGGAAAAATGGTCGCCCTTCTAGCTGAGTAAACTTTAGTAAGCTTTCTGACTGCATGTCTGACAATTTACCGCTAGTTTTACACTGGATTAAAAGCGACGGAGTTAAGTGAGATGGGCCCTGTTTGCTTCTCCGGGACACAAAAAACGTACTAGGATAAGACAAAAAAAGGAAACTACCATTTTGAAAGATGTGAGCTCTTTTTTTTGTCTTGCCGCATCCCCGTACGTCTCTTGGGCCTATCAGGAGAATATAGACAGGCTGATTTTTTGGATTGCGATTTCGTCAAGTTGATGACAGTTGTGGTCATTTCGCCAGTCGTAGATTCGCCCAATGACATACATCACCTGAATACAAAAAGCTATTAATCTCCAACATTTCCACGTTTATTCCATTCCTTCAGGTTTGGAGAAAAACACAAATACACATCGAGGGAATCGAGTTAAGACCGAGCGAACAGAAGTTTAGGCGAAACGGCGAACGGATTCTACAATCCAATTCCGATTCATTTCTGGAATAAACATAAGGAGCAACTAACCTCATTTGAAGAAATCTTTGTTCTGTGGCAGTTCTTGCTGTTTATAAGGAAATCCTCATAGCCAGGAACACACAGTTGCATCGTTGGCCAGCTATACTTGTATTTAGCTAGCTCTGATCTCCAACTCGGATTTGCGATGTGACTTGTACATTCTTCCTTAACTGATGAGCTAGGATTGCTTTCAGAAGACCTTGTTGATGTTCTTTTTCTCCGGCTGGACTTGATGTTTTTCTCGACACCACTAACCTCTTTTCTTTTTTCGTTTCTTGGCTTTATCCTTGTGAAATTTGCAACTGACTGTTGTTCAAATGAATTGTCTGCAACATTTTCTTTAGATTTCTTAGCAGCTTCACTTGACAAAGCATTTGTAGCATGTTGCTCATATCCAAGACGATGGATATGGTGAGCTTGAGGGCTCTCTTCGGGAACTTTCACTGAAGCATCCAAATCACTACTTTGGCTTGTTTCAGTGTAAGTTGGTTCGTTTCCTGTCGGCATAGTACTAGTCTGTTTGAGAATCTTGTCAGTAGAATAAGGTATTTCTTTGCTGGTTTCCAAATACGAGGAAATCTCAATGATTGCCTTGTCAAGGCACTCATTTAATTTTTCAGGGGCTGGTGTATCTTCTTCAACCTCTTGAGTCACAGGGAGACCAGGTGCTGTAGAAAAACTTTTCCCCGCGTGAAGCCGAATAAGTGTTTCAGTTGCAATGGATTCTTCAAAAGTGTTTGGAACAGTAAAGGCAGATGCTGTGTCCCTGACGACATTATGTGATTGTAAACCACTCACACATGTTGCCATGGTGACGTTCTTGCTGTTTACAACTTCAGTGTTTCCATTCAGCTTCAGCTCATCAGAATTCATGCTGCAAATCTGTGTTTGCTGAAAAAGCAAAGCCACGCCATCTCCATTGACACCAGTGCTCTCTTCTTCAGTTTCTCTCAATGACACCTGCATAATGGAGGCTGCTTCTTTGCGACTTAAAGGTTCTTTGTTGTCAACAACAAAAACACCTTTGTTTTCACGTTGACTAGTTTCTTGCAGATTCGTTACAGTGAAACCTTTTCCCTCCCAATGACTTTCAGTACTAACTTCACTATCTCGCGGTTTTACAAATGTAAGTGTTTCTTTATCAGGAGAAACTTCAGTAGGAATGACTTTGGATAAATTGCTTTCATCTACATGAACTGGTAAAAAGTTATTAAATGTTTCATTGTACACGCTTTCTTGGAATAAAGGCCTGTTTTCTCCATGAAACTGTTCTTCGGACACTTTGCCCACTTCCTTGGCTTGTGGCAGTGGATAATGGTAATCTTGAAGCCTTGTCGTCTCAGAATCCTTTGTGCCTTGCTCCGAACTTAAGAGGCTTCGAACTTCTGCAGATCTTGCCAGGTCCAAGGTGCTGTAATTGTGGGATGTTTGCATCTTTGGATCTGCTCCATTGTCTAAAAGAAACTTGACAACCTGTGAACGGAAAATTGAACATCAACTACATAAGTTGTTTCTTTCTGGAGTTACCTTTTCAAATTGCCAATCCCAAAGCACAGGTTTCAATAAGCACCGACGGCCGACAAAACACGTCAGCTACTTTGCTGATAGAAGTCGGTTACTTTTTGGAAAGAAGAAGCAACTAGTTTGAATAACGTTGTAAACAAAAAATAAACCATAACACCTGAATGAAAACGTAGTTATGACGTGTTTTCATAAAGGCCGAGTGGTTTTACGTTATGCTTTAGCCATGTGAACGCTATACCGTAAAATCCCGAAAATAAGCCCCGGGGCTAATATTTTTCAAAGGCCCTTTTTGAGGGGCTTATTTTTGGAGGGGCTTATATTCGGAGAGGCTTACCTACGGAAGGAAATTTGCGTCTCAAAATCGATTGGATTAGCCTTATAGTTGGAAGAAAATTTACCGTTTTTGCTTTGTTTTACTTTGTATTTGAGGGCAATTTCCAAGTACAAGCCCCCGGGGGGCTTATATTTGGAGGTGCCATTTAACGGAGGGTTTTTTGCGTTACGAGTTTGGGGGGGCTTATATTTGGAGGGGCTTATACATGGATGGGCTTATTTTCGGAATTTTACGGTATTTCAGTCAATTTTTCACAAGTTTCTTTATAGGTTTACGCAGCATTTGTTTACACGGAAAAGTATGTAATTTAGTTTCATTTGTTCATTGCCGGTAGGAATTGTCCGAATTGATTGTGAGACTGATAAATCGAAAGTTGCACGAAAGCTACATTTTCTTGAATGAAAAAATTGAATGTACTCTCTTGTCCTCAATTGAGTCCCCAGAACGCCGAAAATCGCATTTTAGGGCTTTGAAATTTCAAACTTTTCTGGGGAAGCACGCCCACAGACCCCCCTCCCCTCTCCTAGAAAAAAGGGACTAACGGTCCCTTGTCGATACGGTCGGTTACTCTATTCAATTGAAACCTGCTAGCTACTTCAATTTTTATTGAAACCCCTGCTCATGCTGACAATCCAATTAGGAATGGTGGAAGTTACATTGCCAGCAGAACCTCAAAACATAACCTATTAACAATACATGTCTAAATATAAAAACCAAAGCATTTCAGAAAAATTTAAAACAGAACTCAGAAAAATTTTGCTTGCAGAATCTGGAATCCTGTGTTTTGGAATCCAGAATCCAAGTTCCATTTACAAAGACTGGAATCCAGTACCTGGAGTCTGGAATCCATGGCATGGAATCCAGAATCTAAAACTGCATGTCTTGGATTCCTTTCATGGGGTGAAACAACAATGCACATTGTAAGCAAACCTGGGTATGATCATTGATGACAGCATCATGTAAAGGAGTGATGGCTTCATATCCTGGAATACTAACATCAGCACCTGACCACACTAATTCCTGTACAATTCTGAGGTTACCATAGTTACAGGCTTCATGAAGAGGTGTCCACCCTTTGAAATAATGAAAAAAAAAAGAAGAAAATGAAATAAACTAGTTCTTATCTTTTCTTGTTTAAAAAGGTTACCACACTTATTTTTAGTAACAGGGTGCAAAGAAACTCATTCTTACAGCTTCCAATTGGGGCAGGCTGAAGCTAACATTTACTAGCCCAAACATCATTTCAACTAGCCCCAAAAACGTTTTGATGAGCAGATTAATTTCATAGTTCTTCTGTAATTTGAATTCCTCAAAAAACTTCACCAGTGTGTTGGGCAAGTTAATAACAGAATTCACTAGCCCGATAGCAAAATTCACTAGCCCCGGGCTATTGGACACTACTTTCTTTGTAGGCTGAGTAATAATGGTGGAATTAAGTTACTATACAGCAACGACGAAGTGTCCGAAGCACCAAAGTGTCTGAATAAGCAAAATAATTTAAAAAATGATAATGATTAACAATAAAAGTAAAATAAATCTTTTAGAAGGAGGCCACCATATCTAAAGATGGCTTTCAGGAAGTCCTCTAAAGTATATGTTAACAACAAATACATTGTATCATAAGATAATTGAACTACTAAGTGCCCTGATAACAATAGGCATCCCGTTGTACAGCTACTTCAATAATTTGGCAAACTGCTTATTGCTTGTTGTTGATATTGTTATTATTATTATTATTATGGTCTCTATTATCACAGTCTTTGCTGGTGTTCTTTTTGTGCATCAGCCGGGCGCAAACCATGCACCTAGAACGTCAGTCACTCAAGTCAATCATTCTGTTCATACACTGAGCACCTTTCTAAGGATTCGTGCAGATCCCAGCATGCAGATCTTTTGAATCTCTGTCATAGTAGCTCTCTCTGATACTTTCTTGATGTTTTCTGGTCTTTGTACTTGCATTTTTTTTCAGTTTCCTTCAGTGCGATGTTTCTATCTGATGGAACAGTCATATCAATAAGTTTGCAGGTGGAATTCACTGAATCTTTAACAATGATATCTGGTCTGTTCGCTGTTATAGTTCTATCAGTATTGACTGGCATGTCCCACATGATGGTGATGTTGTTATCTTTATTGTGTGTCACGGTCTCTGGTTCGTGTTCGTACCATTTATTATTATTATTATTGTCTATTTAATTTATTATTATTGTTTTTTGCATAACCAACTCATGACATTCAAGGAAAATTTAATGTTGCTCAGAGGCTTGAGCAAAATTGGAAATGGTCAAAACAAAAACTACTTTCATTCTTAGTGTGTTCTCAAAAAGAAAACTATATCACCCCCAAACAATTGCCAGTCATTTTGTCTTTTCAAGGATCACATTAGATTTTCAAGGACTACCGACCAGGAATATAATTTCATAGATTGCACAAAAATGCACATTCCCAGCCCCTTCTAACAGGACTTTAAGGCTTGAATTGTTTGCTCCACCAACTTCTCTACACTTTTCAGTTCATTTGTCTTAAATTTATAGTTAAAATTATAATTCCTGCAAAAACCAAAAAGAAACACTTTATGTGTATCGCCATTAACTTCTTTGAGCTTTGATTTATACAATGTATTCTGTCTTGAACAACCACAAAGCATTAAAAAAACATTTTCCGGGCCACTACACTGTACATTTAAAGTTAAAGAAAATTCAAGGACTTTTCACGACTGTATGAACCGTGTTTTCATGGAGAAATCCACCCTAATTCCCAAGGTCCTCTCACCATGGCTCGAAAAAAAGGCCCATCCGGTAGTCTACAACAAGTGTATTTTCTTACTGGGCAAGCAACTTTTAAAGCTTACTTGCTCAATGGGCAGAATACAGGCAAGCCATCCTCTAATAAAATCATTAACTTAGGGTGTATTCCTTTGAGATGATCCGGATCAAGAACAGGGATCCGAGATCACTTTGACCATGGTAGATTAAATGAACCGATGAATCCACTCTGGACAAGGATTCATCGGTTCTTTTGATCTATCACGATCCGGTCGATCACAGATCACTGATCCTGATACAGATCATCCCAAAGGAATGCACCCTTAGGTGGGCAAGAAGTAGGCCTGGGCATGCAAAATGTTAGAGCTGCTTGCCCAAAGGGCAAGGAGGAATTCAAGATTTTTTTTCAAGCCCTACGTCCCCTACCCATACCCTTTCTTGCTCCAGGGGATGAGTAGGAGAGAAGAGAGAGACAAGGTTAGCAAAAATCTTCTGTATTTTTTTTTCTTACCAGCATTGTCTTTCGCATTGACAGCAGCACCAGCTTTAATCAGGGCTACTACATCCTCCAAGTCACCTTTTATGGCAGCAACATGCAATGATGTCTCGCCACGCTCATTCCTCTTCCTGATGCGAGCCTCAATCTGATTATCCTTGGCAATGTTTCTCTTCTTTGTTTTGCTGCTATTACTAGGCAAATCATCACAGTTGCTGGATTCAAAATCTTGCCTCACCTCTTTGGCTGTTACTTCAAGGAGATATTGTAATTGCTGACGTTCTGTGAGAGGATAGTTGGCTTTGGAGCCTGGTTCTCCTTGAGGTTGTACATTTGCAGTCTTGGATGCATTGTACTTCTTAGCTGTAAAGAAACAGTAAAACAGTACACAGTGAGTGTGATGCTGTTCTAGACTGACGACCCTTTATCCGTCAGTATAATCAACTCTTTTTTAGCATGTACAGTACCTTTATGGGAAAGATGTACACCCTGTTTAGTACCTTCCCTACCATTTTTGGCCTTTTTACAACTATAACATAACTCTTTATCAAAAATACACCTCCCTAACATGGATGGTGTCCAATATCAGAGAGAGTTAAGTTTAATGTATCCCACTCACCCACTTTGCAGGCAACTTTGCTATAGCTTCTTGATATCACATGGGCACATTTGGGATTTGCTTGTTATCCGTACTTCATTTCCCTCCCCTTAACCATGAGTGTTTCACTATGGAAGGGGTAGCTGCTTACCAGGGATATTGCCATAAATACTATACAAAGCCCTTATGGGAATTTTTTTTTTTTTCAAGTTAATTTGAGGGTGTTACAGGGAAGGGTCTGGAAGAAAAAAAAGGAAAAACCAGACTGCAGTTGAGACACTCTAACCACTGTTTTGACTGAGGCCAGGGGAATCATTGTGTGGTCAAACAGGAATGTGAATAAGAATGTGCAGAATAGATATAGGCCATTTGAAGGATGGCGTCATTTAACTACTACAACCAGAATCCTCCAGGGTATTATTTTCTTGTGCAAATTAACGCTTTTCTTACTTACACTCCTGTCACTGGGACTACCAAATTTAAAGATGACAGGAAAAACGAATTAATTCTTAGTAGTAAAGAGACGTCATCGTGCAAATGGCCCATTGTGCCTTATTTTGATCAAGTTGCTGCACATGAATTTGATCACTAAAGTATGGTACATGTTCCAAATGCTCCACTTGGAAGGATAAAGTAATAGTAAAGTAATAAAACTAGAACATATCTGTCAGGAAAAACTCAATTCAGTTTGTGGTTGCTCTCAAACTCCTGTTTGCTCTAATTATAAAAGGACTTTGAAGTTCTGTTATTGAATTCCTTATATTCTGCCTTCTTCTACTTTTTTTGCTGCATCTTCAGTTCTTCATGAATTTTTTATTATTATTGGGGGGGGCACGCTTAGCAAGATCTTACATTTAAGTGGGGAGGGGTGGTATTGAATGTACATATAGTCTTTCTGGAATGTGAAAGAAAAAGGTGTAGGAGAGGTTGGGGTGGGGAGGGGGGGGCACAATAAAAAAGAAACGGTGCAAACAAACCAACCAACATAAAAAAAAATAAAAACAAAAGGTAAGGTTCCTCCATTGAACTTCAACTTAGGATCTCCACTTCAGAGATCTTCAAATCACATAGCCTATGGTATTATACAAAAAAAAATTTAAACATTTTTTTGGAAGAAGTTAGAAGACAACTTGCCTTGACCTCATTGATTGGCCAAGTAACATGTATTTGTATTGCTGGAAAAACTAGTTGGGCAACAGGACAGATATTTTTTCAAGTTCCGTATACCAGTCTTGGTCAATGTGAAAAAAAAAATGGTCAGTTTTACAGCTTGCCATTTGATCAAGCTTTAGCTACAATCAGCGACAAGATTAGTTGAGACACTTTGCCTTAAAGGGCTTTTCTGATGTTTTACTGAATCTAAAAGGAGAAAATAAAGTTTTCCCTATCCCGTTCCTCCATGCAATGTTGTGCCGCTGTTCGAGCTACTTGTAGAAAACAACAAACACCCCAGCTTTGAAAGAACGGGAGATAGAAAGGGTGTGGATTGTTTTGTTCTCTTAAGTTAACCTATTTGACTGCAATGTTTCAACAATTTTGTTGCCAGTTGTAGCATGTGCTAGCCCAAGAGTCACTTAAAATAGCCCCAACAATTTTTTTTGGATGAGCAGTATTGATTACAGTTCTCGAACTGTACATGTGTAATTTTAATTCCTTAAATTACACCGCCTGCCTGTTGGGAAAGTTAGAGGCTGAATTCACTAGCTCAATAACAAAATCCACGCTGATGGTACCAATTTGCTAACTCCCTTGAAAATGGCCAACTTTGACCAGTCTGAAATCTCTAAAATTGATATCAAACAAAGATCAGTTTTAGAATTTCAAACCAATGCTTTCACTGCCTCACTGACAATATACTTCTGACAGTGTACAGTGTACAGTGCAAGTTCAACAAATCACCTACCCCCTCCCCTACTGCCTTGCTCAATAGCTCCTAAATGACTGAGCATACATGGGGTTTGTACCCTATTCTAAACAAAAATTCAAGGACTTTGCAATGATTTTCAAGGGCACATTTCCCATTTTTGAAGGACTCCATTCAGTGCAAAAAAGAGCCCAAGTCTTTTTTAGTTCAATCCACAGCATGAGCAATTTTATCCTGAAGGTCTTGCTCCTTTTCCTTTGGGTTGGATAAAGTTAGCACCGAGATTTTCCAGCAACAACTGCCATTGTCAAGGACTTTCAAGGTGCGTGCAAACCCTGTATACAGCTGGATCTTACATTTTACATACATGCGTGCATGACAATGAATCATGGAATACCTTTGTTTATCTGTAGACTCTGACCATTCTGAAGAAAAAGCTTTCGTTTTGATACAAGTTTTCCTGATTTCTTTTTCAAGGTAGGATCCTGAAAGAAACAAGTGCAGTAAATGATACTGAACCTCTGTTCGAAAAAGTTGCAACTAACTGCATGCATGCCAATTTTTTCAACCTTAACCATAATCTGCGGTAATTTCGTTCATACAATTTTTGGGGGATAAATTATTATTATTTACTACATAAGAATCTCAGCAACCCTTGGTTGCAAAACGTGTTTGAAGAAGAATAGAAATTGGCCATATCTTTCTGGTTTGTTGCCAAAACAAACGAAGAAATTTGACAAATAATCTAAGAAGCTGTATCCGAAAAAAACACAAAGAAAGCAACAAAATTTGGTTTGGAAGTTTTTACAGGTAAAGCTTTGTCTGTTTAACAGAAACCGCAAACCTGAACTTATTGGTGAAACCGCTGAGAAAGTTTTTTTGCTTACAAATGCAAATTTTGTCTTGCGTTACTTTATTTAGCTGACACGTGGATAAATCAGCTGAAAACAAAGTTAAATGGGTTTTTGTACAGAATGGTTACAAATACAGGAATAATATTAATTTTGCAAATCTTTTTGAACAAATTAATGTCTCCACAAGATCTAAAAAAATGCCTTCAAAAAGTTTTATTTGTTGGCAAGACAGCATGGCAGCAGTAACTTCAGTCATTTGCACACAAAATTGTTATGGTTCGCAGCAATATCATTTTTGAGCTCAATTAACTCACTGTTTTGGTATTACAATGAATTCACTTTAGTGTCAGTAGCTAGTGCTAGTAGTGGATATTTATTAGTAGTAGTAGTAGTAGTAGTAGTAGTAGTAGTAGTAGTAGTAGTAGTATATCATTATTATTATTATTATTATTATTATTATTATTATTATTATTATTATTATTATTATTATTATTATTATTATTATTATTATTATTATTTCGTTTTTTTTTGTATTTCCACCTCTGACTCAACCTACTATTTGAGGATGATGTTAAAAGAAGAAATAAACGAAAGTTTAAATAAGGGATGAAGTTAAACCAGATGCTCCTAGCGTACAAACAAAAGATAGATGCAGTGGTCCCAAATTTTCAACAATATATACATATATTTTTTTACCTCCGCAGCAACGGTTCGAAGAGTCATGCATGTACATAAACATCCGCCACGCTCATTAAACTCATTATTTATGAAGTTTAACATATTCTAATTATTCTTACTTTATGCGGAGTTTCAGGATCTCTTTCAGTTTCTATTGATTCTAGCGGAGTGATCTGTAACGGCAGGTTTCCTGTCTCTGAAAACACTGTCTGGTTGGGTGTCTTCGGAGAGATACCGCAGACTGCCTTGGTCATGAGGCTAGACCTAGGGTCTGCCATAAAGTCAGATGAACCTCAAAGAGCTAAGAAAAATCAAGAGTCATTTCAATAAGCTATACACGAAACAGATGCGAGTTATGAGCGGAGTAGCTCTATATCGACGTGAAAAATTTGCATATTCGGCGCTGGAAGACATGCATGTAATAAAAGCTGTTCTTTTGATTCCGAGTTGCCGATTGAACTCACGCGGGCCCGGAAATTATGCCGAGTGTAGCATAAACATCCCAGAATCACCGGACAGAATCACCGGACAGTCATGAGATTGTAACACCTTTTCCTGAAAAGTTTACATGTGTTGAAGTCAAGTGTATTATTATGCTCAAAAGCGATCCAGTAAACAAGCTAGAGCCCGTGTATGAAACCGAAGCTAAGCCAACAATGACAGTTACGTTTAGACACGAATAAGATCCAAAACGTTATATTGGCAGAAAAAGTCGATCTGGAAGCACTGCTCTTACCGAAGTTCTTGGGAATTTACCTTGCTTTTCTTTGATTTCTCCGTTTCTCAGCTGGATCTTTGCGAGAAGTTGATGATTGATCGAAGAAAGCGAAGTGCTTCTTTGTTCGTATTCAAGATTGTGATTCCCGCCAAAATATTACATCCGGGAGACTTTCTTTATGATACTGCTGACCAGTAGCGTAACGTAAGTAGTTAACAATAAATATAAAGTAAATGAATAAAAAATAAATACTGCTTTGTCACACTAGTTAGTAATAAAAACGCTGTCACAATTCGTCAATCGCACTTTGTATTAAACTAGGGTACTGCAATTTGCGAAGTTGTAATAATTCCATCATACTTTGAAGTAACTGCTTTATACTAGCTAGGAGTTTCGCTTTTATGACTTCAATCTCCGGCCGTTGCGGACCATGAAACTTGTTGTGACATGTCGGCTAGTTTGTATTTTCTTTTTCATTGTTTTTATATACCTCCCGGGGGCTCCCCCGGGTATATACCATACATTAAAAATTATCATTTCTGCCCGTTGTTTAATTGTTTCTGTCAGTTCAGGGGCGGATCCAGGATTTTTTTTAGGAGGGGGTGCACTCGTCTCTTGCTCTACTTCAACACCAATAAACCACATAGTTTTTGCAGAATACCAGTTGTATTAGAAAACCGCAGGTCATCTCAGGGGGGGTGCGCACCCCTTGCACCCTACCCCTAGATCCGCCCCTGCAGTTAGAGACAATACTAGCAAATATATTTTAAAGGAGAATACAAGAAAAGAAAAGGAAAAAAGTTTTGACATAAAGAAAATTTCTTGCAGACGTGCAAGCCATTTACTCCTTGGTAATCGGCTCCTGGCAGGGAAGGCCGGAATCTACTAGACTACTCGTAGTCTAGGAATCTACAAAAAGGCCATTCGTCGAGTTCTAAAACTCTCACTTTCAAATCGAGGCTTCATGCAAAACCGGTTTTTTTTTTCTGTGAAAATGAGTTAGTATTTCACCACTCGGAAATGGCCTGACGGCTTCAATAAGGAACCCATGACCACACAGCCTTGTCCACAGAGCATTTGAAAGACGTTCACGAATATCAGGAAACATCCAGACCCCTTTCCATCAATTTATACAGTATTAAACAAAATTAATATTCCAGTGTCTTATGGACGAATTCGAATGGATCAGAGCTATTGAATGAAATAAATAGTTTAGTTTAGTTTTTTCTTTAATCCATCTGGAGAAAAAGAGTTATTAAATTCCCAATTATATGTCACAAATCATTAATATCATTAATTACTTCGCACGTACTGTCTAGATCTAGTATCACTTTATAAGTGACGTCACAAACATTAAGTGACAAAATATCCTGAGGAATCTTTTGTCCGATCATATCACTTCGAATATTCCATCAACGCGCACGTGAAAAGTTCCTAATCGGCAGTTTTATCTTAAAAAAATCATGGCTTCGGTTGATAAAGCGGCGATGGAGAAAGCTTATCTCGAAGTGAGAGACGACAAAGTGGATACTAACTGGTAAGTTGAAGGTTTTGTCCATTTTAATACGAATATTACCGAACGCCGGCGAAAAGAACTAATGATCAACCGGCTTCTTGCATAATGGGGAGGTTACCGCCTCCTTCAAGGATCATCACAAAGCCAGCGACAGTAATCTCGAATATTGCTATTTATTTCTTCAATGCGTATGCTTAATAGGAACTTGCATGTTCTTAATTACTTATAAAAAGAAATGAAGTAAAATATTTGGCAATGATGGGTTGTTCTCAGTACGCCAGGAATTATAATCTGACGCCGCCGTTTGAAAATGTTAAATAGCCTCAAAGGAAATTGCAACGATTGCGGAAATAATTAAATTGGGTGTATTGGCTAGTGAAGGATATTCGAAAAAATATTTGACATTGGCGATGTGCGAGTATTTTACCTTGGTTTTTCCTTTACAAACCTGAACTTTTTATCGGGGTTGAAATGTAATACAAAGGTAAACGCGCTTTTAACAGCTGAGTTATTTATTTAAAGGGTCATTGTTTATATTCAACAACAAAGATCTTTAAAGGCGTCTCAAATTTGCAAAATCTTGGGTCAACTGGTCAATCCCTTTTACGTTATTTCCGTTCCAGAAATATCCTAGAATAAGCAATGAGATTCATTAATGAAACTTTTTAAATGCAATATGATCGCGAAAGGGATTATTCATTGAGGAGTACGGATAATAATTGAACCAAGAATGTTATGGGAGAAGGCCTATAGATACAAAAAAGTTTAAACGGGGTGGAGAAGGGAAGATTGTGGGAAAATAAAAACATACACGGTGAGCAGCCAAAAAACTGTTACTTTCACCTTCCAAATTATAGTTTCGGGAAGTCTTTGCAATGTGCGCAATAGATTGGAAAATTTTGAATTCTAGAATGCCTCATCTGATGGCTCCTAATGCAGCGGAACGGGACTCAGGTAAAGCAGTGACAGGCCTGAGAGGCCCCCAAATTAGACTGAAAGGCCAAGGCCACTTGACCTGAACCTGAGTAGCTCCTCACCTCCCCTGCTGGGCCCTAATGGTCCGCTCCCAGTACCGCGCGAAGAGCGATGAGTGATGGCTTGGAAAGGGGAAACGGTAGCCTGCGAACACAGACGTATTTCCGGTGGTCGTTTCTCCCGGAAATACGTCTGTGTTTGCAAGCCAGGAAAGGGTGGCGTTGGACGCGTTGGCCTGGTTTGTGACACTGACTGCCGGCCATCGTTATTTTTAATAGGCCATTTCCGAGTTCCAAAAAATCTCGCTTTCAAGACGAGGCTAAGTGCAAAACCTTTGTTGTGAAAATGAGTTTTTTTGCATCATAATTAAAAATCATTTTCATATCAATGGCTTCGCACTTAGCCTCGCTTTGAAAGTGAGATTTTTTTGAACTCGGAAATGGCCTATTGTCTTGTCTCTCAAGCCTTGCGTGATGACTATGACTATTATGGTAGGCCAAAAAAATGGGTCTCAAATGTCGCACAGCTTAGAGAATATTTTTGTCACGTTTTCGTTAGTCTCAGTAAATTTCTTAACCTTAACATACACGTCGCAATTTCACCACGCAGAATTTGTTCTGCCCTTTTCTGCCCTTGCTAGATCTACCAGTACGTATGTTTTGTTCCTTATAGATCACTAGATCACTATAAATCACGCGGGCGCGCTTGCGTATTTCTCGTTCCAGTCTCCCCCAACTGTAGGTGTCAGTTAAAAGGGATTGTGACTGTATTCCTTTGTTTTGTTCCGTTAGGGCTGTTTTTAAGTACAGCGAAAACACGATCGTTTTCATAGCATCTGGGACAGATTATGAGGAATTTTTGAAACAATTTGAAGGTTTGTATATTTATAGCCTCAGATTTACCGTATTTGTTTAATGATCGCAGCATTACTTTTCATCGTTCCTTGCACTGTTAAAGACGTGTGGCACTAGAATTATCCCCCAAGACAACTTTTACTAGCGTTAATATAGCCTGTGTATCAAGCGTTTCCGCGCGGTTTCGGAGCAACGAACGAGGAACGAGAGTCAAAGACTTCGCGAAAAATGGAGCGAGTTAAAGAGCGGGGAGGGGCTCTCTTTCCACTTTCCGCGGGGCCAAAACCGAAAATCCCGTTCTTCGTCGTTCCTCAGTCTTTCTCTGCCCCGAAACCACACGGAAACGCTTGCTACACATGCAGGCTAGCGTTAATAGACCTTTCCCGCATTACTATAAACAAAACACCAACTCGAGGCTTGAACTGACAACACAGTGATTTGTCCGCCCGAACCTCGATCTCATTTCTTTGTGTTTTCTCAGTCTGGCGTAACGCGGGAAAGTCTTGTAGCCTGCATGACAGGCGTTTGAAACTAGGGGAAGAAAAAAGAAGGAATTCAGAACGCCCATCCTTCTGTGCGCCCGATTTCCCCTCCCTTTTTAGGGATGCCTTCCACAAAACTCACGTTTTATAGCTGCTAAATGCTTTGTTCATAGTTGAAGTGCACTTTAGTTCAGTCACAGACTAGTTCACAGGCAATCTCTTCAAAATAATTTCCAAAAAGTAATACGAATATATGGCAACGGAATAAAAAAAAATCCAGCTTGCTGGAAGCATCCAGTTGGCTATTTACAAGCATGACGGAGGATTAAACTAAGGCTGATCGATGAATAAATCCAGCCAGTGGTCAGAGCGGAACTCGAACCCACCAATTAACTCGGAATTGCGATTGAGTCCGACTTGTTGACCACTCGGACTCGCCGCCTCCTTTAATTTCCAATAGGGACCTTACGATCCGACGACGGCGACGTCCATGAAAACATCGTTGAAAAATAGACTTCCTATCCTTTAACTTTTTCGTGATTATACTATGTCGGCCAAATACAGAAAAGAAGGGAATTTATGTTGGAGCTGAAGAGAGGGGACCGCCCCCGAGTTCAGACAGAGATGCCAGAATTTATAGCCTTCCCGTTCCTGTTCTCAAGTGAACGTAAAATTTGGCAATGTCTCGTCGTAGTTGTGCAGGGATGGTAACAAAAAAGCCTGATACACCTGCAAAGTTGTTGTTTTGCTTATTAAACCTGTTGCTTCTTTGACGTTCCCGTTGCCGTCGCCGTCGTAGTTTTGTAAGGTCCATAGTAACGTTAACGAAGATGGCACTGTTTCGCAGACGGACTTGACCAGAAGTTTGATTCCGTCAGTGGCGCAGGCTGAACTTGTAAGGCCATTTTTTATTGTGACTAATCTTATTACGCAGCGGGTGAACGAGCCTACGGTTATGTCAGGATTGAGACTGGTGACGAGTTAAGCAAGCGAGCAAAGTTTGCTCTCATAACATGGGTCAGTGAAACTGTTCCTCCGTTAAAGAAGGCCAAAGTCAGTACAGACAAAGCTTCTGTCAAGCAAACTATCCAGGTAATGAACTTGTTTTTTTTTTTGGAGCTCTCGCGTTCTTGGGTTTTCACGTTCTTACGTTCTCGCTCGTCAAATTTGCCACTATCCGCTTTTCTTTTTTTAACGTCGCGCAGGTTATTTATTCCCCTTTTTTGGATGTGTTGTTTACAGCAATCATGTTTCGGTTATCTCGTGGCTTTTTTTGTGCATTTCTTGTCCGTTAACTCCCACAGGCTATCTTTAGTAA